GTCTCAGCCGGCCAGGGAGCGCTGTGACGAGCGGAGCGTGTGAGCTGATAGGAGCCGGGCGGCGCACCGGGACCCCGAGATGCGGCCGGAGAGGGTGCTGGAGCTGCCGGTGGGCAGCGCTGAGCCTAGAGCCCACCCGCCGTTTCCTGCTTTGCAGGGGCGCCCTGGGGCTGGCCGCGGGCAGCGCAGCAAGTGGGGCGGCTGCGGAGCCCTGGCTGGGGTTCCCCGCCTGCCCTTCGTTTGCGGGGCACCTGGGGCTTCAGTGTGGCCCTCAGCCACCGCTGCTGCCCCACGGGGCCAACAGGCAGCTTCTGGGCGCAGCCCGCTGGGGGCGCCCTGGCCGACCAGGTGCGGGACTGGGAGGGGCCCTCTACCCAGGCCAGCGTGGGACAGCGGGCGCTTCCAACCTGCTGCCGCGCCCGCGGGGCTCACCCCTCCCGGCCTGGCGCACTCGAACTCTGAATACTGAAGTCCGCGTCGCCGTCAGGCAACAGGTAAGCACGCGGGCCGGCCGGTGAAGCCTGCTGGCCTGTCCAGCGTGCCACCCGATGGGGATGGGAGGCCCCGCCCTGGGCACAGGAGTGGCCAGGACCAGAGGGCTGTGGGGTCCAGCGGTAGAGGACACGGCATAGGGCAGGCCGGACTGGCGGCGGAGGTGCCCGCAGCAGCGCAGGGCCTGGGCTGGGTGGCCCGCGTCAGGGCCCTGCTCCCCGCCCCGGCGCCCCCGCGGCAGCTCGGCCGAGGGCTCCTGAGGCCAAGGGTCGTCTCGGCGGGGACCGGCCTCCAGCCAGGACTCAGGCGCCAGGGGCTTGCAGGGTGCCCCACTGGGCGGGACCCATCTTTGGACTCCACCTCCCTGGTGGGCATGTGACCCTCTGTGTGGACACCAGACCCGGCACTCCCCAGGCACTGCCCTGGCAGCAGGCGGGAGGGGCTGCTACACCCCTCGGCCTGAGGACGTTTGCGGGAGGTGGGGGGGGGGCTGGGGGCACCGGGCCACAGTTGGCTGGCCCTGGGGGCTCCCAGCGAGCCCCATGCCCAGGTCCTGCCTGTGAGGTGAGGCGCTGCTTTCCCAGGGGAGCCCCGTCAGGCTGCCTCCTGTAGTGTGCCGGGGCAGGCCGGGTTCCCTCACTGCACAGCAACAGCGCCCATGAAACCACTGAGAAGAACGAAATGAAGCAGATGGGGCACCTCGGGTGGCGTCCCCGGGACAGTCACCCCCGGCCAGGGCTTTTTCAGAGCAAGGGGATCCTGGTGGACGGGGTGCAGGCCGCGGAACCAGCAGAGTGCCGGCCACAGCCTAGGAGAGCCGCGGAGGCAGGACAGGCAGGTGCAGGGAAGACGGGCGGCATGCCACGCCGGGGCCTGCTGGGGCGCCCCGATGCCCTGACCGGAGCTGCCCAGAGGCCGAGAACTGCCCCAAGGTTCTCGCTGACCTCGGAGGACCCAGACGGGGAGACGGCAGGCTGCTCCCCAATCTACACCTGCGCAGGCCCCACGCCCGGGGCCTGTGGGCGCCAGGAGAGCTGCTGTAAGGCAAACGGGGAGACACCGGGCGACTTACAGAGAAGGCCAGCCGGGGGGCAGCGCTGTCCAGGACCCGCTGCCTGCTAGTGCTGCCTCCCGCCATGACCCACCCCCTCTTCAACCTTCTCATGAACTCAGAACCCCACTTTTTTTAGTAAAGACCCCCCCTTTTAAGCACAGAGCTGGGGTGCAGGGTCTCCCCAGAGTGGGGTTGGGTCCACTGACAACCCCTGCTGAGGGGCAACCGGGTGCCGGGGCGGGGCTGGGTCTCGGCCCCGTTCTGCTGGCCCCAGGGCCCCACCCTGCCCCTCAGGGGCGGTGCAGGCACTGTCCGGCAGGCGCGGGGGCCTTGGGCGGCCAGGCCTGCCCTTCGCTTCAGGAGTAGCTCAATCCAGTGAAGGCCGCTGACCCGTCCCAGGTTCTCAGAGCAGGGGCACCTCAGGCCCCCTGGGGGTCCCCAGCCCAGCCTGGCACCCACTTTGGGACGCAGGGACCGAGCCCCTGACCGCCGGAACGAGCTGACTGCCCGGGCGGCGCCGGCCTGCCGCGGGCGGGTGTGGCCGCGCCTCCCGCAGACGCCTTCGGGG